AAAACTATTTCCTAACTTAAATTAATATATTTTAGGCCTTCAAAATATGTTAAAAAATACATTTGAAATTATATGGGTCAAAATCAGGTTAATCCCTACAGGGTCAAGTGTCATGTATTTTAGGCTGAATCGGGTCAGATTCGGGTTGGGTTAGGGGTGAGATAGACTCATACAAAATTCAACCCATTGACATCTCTAAATATATTTATCGGAATAAATGCATTTACCTTAACGAAAAGCAAATGTAGCATTAATTATTAATTCTTAATTCTCACACATTAAGCATTACTAGGAACCCAACAAAAAATAAGCTAAAACGAGTATAAATTTTCCGAATCATATATTTTCCCACAAAATTAACAAAGACTAATTAAAGAAGGAAATGTACCGTAGGCAGGAAATACGTGGTGGTGAGGATGCAGTAAGGTGGCAGCAGCGCATAGCACAACTCCGGAAGGGCGCGAAGCGGCCATATGATTACGCTCAGATACACCAAGCACTGTCGAATCAGAAGCTTCCCCTTGATAACGCCCAGAATGGGATTGTAGTTGCTAACGAGAATCTCGAGAAGGCCGGTGGCCCATCTCTTTTGTTGGGTCAGTATTGCGGGCCCACCCGAGGGTGTATCGCCTAGGAATGCAGGTGGGTCGGGCGTACAATAACCCGATCTCCAACCTTTTGAATGGATTCTCAGTCCGGTGAGGACGTCTTCAGTTGCCGACCCGTAGACCCAACCAACCTGAAACACAAAAACGGTGAAAAGGATTTTATGATTAGATTTTTTTTTTTTTTTTCAATTCCAAAGGGTACGTGGCGTACTGGCGTGTTCACTATAAATCACAATTCACTGAGAAAGTTGAATTGTTCTGCGACTGGGGTCGCAGCTGGTAATGTTTTCTCATTAACGCTTATATCAAGATGATGAAGTTGCTCACCCTTTCACCCCACGAGGTGTTGTACTCGTACACACAACTTGCTACTTCATTTGCTGCTTCTTCGGTGCTGGATAGATCTGCAGGTTGGCAGTCCGTCTTGTCTTTGATTCCAGACAATATCTGAGGTACCGATTTCATGAAATGGACTGAATTTCCAAATGTGGTCTCCATTGCTTCATCAAGTGATTTCCCGGGTTAAGCTTATATATATAAAATGAAGGTTGGAGAGCGCATTTTCTAATTTCTACCATTTACTAGACAAAGTTCATTACCTCCTTGGATTGTTGCTTCATCCGGTGATAGACCATATATAACTTTTCTTCTATGAAAGCATCCTGTCCCACCATAAAAGGGTCCCTGGATTCCTACTATTCCAGGCATAATAAACTGAGACAAACATAGAAATTTTAATTGAAGCTATCACCACCAGAAATAAAATAGCGATGAAATCATGAGAGAGGAGATGTAAAATTGGATATGTAAATTTCAATTTACAAACATTTTCTGTGCCTTTAATCAGGTAAGGCTGAAATTCACTTACTTTCCAGAAGACTATGAATTGATTATTCCCAAATGGATCATCCTTTAAGCTTCTGTAGAATATCTGAGGGAACTGAACAAACCCACTTTCTTTCTCTTGCTCAAAACCAAGCAGTAGGCACATTGCATGAAGAATAGTCTGGGGGTTGTTCACAAACATGTCGCAGTCGACATTGAGAATAAAAGGGGAGTTTGTCATAACTCCTGATACTCTGGTCTGCATGTTCATACAAATTAAGAAAATTAATATAAAAAAAAAAAGAAACATTAATTAATAAGGAAATGGATTTCAAGAGAAATCTTGTTTCCTACATGCCAGCAAACACAAGAAGGAAAAATATTTTCTCCATAGAAACAAACTTCTACAATATGGATTTGTTAATTTTCTGCCCATCCAATTAAACTGAGTGATTAAGCTTTCCCGGGTCTGAATTCTGATACTGGGTATTTATTTGTTCTTTTAACTTTTTGTTTCAAATTCAAGGTGTATGACTTCATCTCCAATTGAGAAACAAAAATAAATCCTCTGAGTTTATTATAATCGAAAGCGAGATTTCATTAAAAAGCTTCGATCGACTATACTATTTTGGCTTCTGAACTTGCAGGTCAAACTCTACTTATTTCATACCAAGACATTCATGGCTCCTGCTTTGAAATGATGAGGGTGCACCGGCCGCTTCTCTCTGGACACGTAAATGAGATGCGGCAGCCCATCCGGAAGATTTTCCTTGTTCTCCCATATCACCTAGAAAAGATAAAGCAAGTTAATTAATTAAGAGCAGCCACCCATCGAACATTGATAGCACAAAATTTGATTCGATCATCTGAGAACTGGGTTTGAGTTACCTTCACTATACTCGGATGGTTCTTAGGGTCTATTTTTGAGAAAGCTGCAAAATCTCCCGTTAGATCTCCTGCAATATAATTCTTCTGAACCGCCTCTTCTATTCTTCGTCGCAGTTGTTTGTATTCATTCTGCGCAGATGAAGAGAAACACATATTGTATTAATTTTTTGTTCTTTCTTTTATTTTTCAGCAGATTAATTTACTAGGTATATACCTTCATCGTCTTCCATTCATCTCGAAAATCCGGTGAGAGATCCAATGATTCATCGATCTCAGTGGAGAAATAAACAAAAGGGGCTCGAACTCGAATACTGTACTTCTTACAGAAAGGAACCCAAAGTTTGGCAAACTTGGAGGCTTCGACAAGAGAATAGAAGGTGAGAAGAGAAGCGCCATCGTCGGACACATAGCAGGCAAGCTTGTGAGCGGGGTAATCAACTGCTAACAAGGAGAGCACAGTGTTTACAGTGATGATAGGCGGTTCGAGTAATGGGTCTGCTGTTGTCACAAACATGTCCACCGAGGGAACCTCGCCAACCCTATATGCAACCAAAAAAAACATGAGATTTTGTTTTTCAAATTAATTAGAGCGTAGCTTGGTTGGTATATATATATATATGTATAATATACCTTTGTAAGAGGCGCTCAGGATATGTTCTGTATTCAACAGGATTCCAATTGGAGTTGATGGTGAGGACCCAGCAGAGAGTGAACCATGACTCGCAGAGGAAGGCAAGGAGCCAAGCGACTCCATGGTTGCTGAGCGTTAGGAAACGATAGGAGAGGAGTGAGAGAAAAAGGAAGAAGATTATGATATCTGTGGCTCTCTGTAAAATGTTGTTACGAGGAATTCTCTCTTGGAGGGGAAGGGAGATAAGGTTGGCCATGATGACAGTCTTTTCTGCCGAGGTTGCTAATTTGGGTCGGTTGACGGTTGCTATTTACTTGAACTGATAAGGTACGAGCCCATGGGTAAGTAAAGTTATGGGCCCAAGAGATGCTTGGGCTAGATTAGATTGTGTTCTGTTATGGGTGAAAAATCGGGGGAGACATCTCAACTCAAGGGAGGTTGTTGCAACGTCCAAACAAGAGTAGTGCTACTGTGCATTAATTTTTTTTTTTTTAAATGAAGATAAAAAAAAAAACATATATAAGCGTATGGCAGTGCCACTCGATTATCCTCTGACAATAGGCCTCAGACGTTGGACAGAGAGACAAATTTGAAACGTTGTCGACAAAAATTCTAAGGACTAAAGCCTGAAACTCCATGATAGAATTTGGGGAAGTGAGTAGGAAGCCATCGGGATCCTAATTTTGGCAAACTCCCAAACTGAATTAGAGCAGTGGGTACCACTTGAGGGAAATGGTAAAAGCAAAAATGGGTGAAATTGGAAATGTGGGCCACTTTACAAGCCCATAAACTAGCCTTGCAAAAATCACTGCCTAGTGAGTAGCTGAGAATTTATTATTGTGATTGAAGCCTTGAAGGTGGTTCGTTGGTTGTATTCAAGAGTCTCCAAGGCCTAGCACTAAGCAGAGGTTCAGGTTCCACGGACATGTCTCTCTCTCTCTCTTTTGGAGGAATGCAAGCCGATATCATGTGCCATGTAAGCAAGGGTTATATATTCCCATACACGTGTAAAGTGGCGTTTGGTAATGTTGAGTTGGGATATATAGTATGGAAAAAAAAAAAAAAACATGCTTTTAGACTTCGAACCTGTTTGAGATGCCATCTAAATGTGGATCTAAATCGTTACGTAACTTACGTTGGTGGTCCATCATAGAGCGCGGTCAGACGTGTTTTAGGCATGGGCAATTTACAATAACGCCTTTGCTATTTTTAATAAAAGACATCAGATACTCCTCATTTAACATGAGAAGGAAGTAAGCTAAGGAACCCTATTTTCTTCTTCCTTTACTCTATTGCTAGAGAACCCCATTGTTGTTGTTGCCCATCATCGCTGATAGCATACAGCCATACACAGGTGAGTTTTATGCGCCATGTGGGAGTCCATTCTTTGAAACAAATAAAACCATTCTCCATTTGTTTTTTTACCATTATTTACCTTTTAATAATGTTTAATGGAACTGTTAATTTTTGGGATGAAATTTGCCACTTGTTATCTTAGGTGGCGTTTGATAGCACTTTTCAGATCTCTAAAGTTTGAAGATGTTGCTTTTCAGATGTCATCTACGTTTGGATTGGGTCTGATTAGCAGATTTGAAACTCAATTTCAGATCTAAATAAAAAAAGAGCCTCCCTATGTGCTTAATACACTAAGAGGCATTTTAGGCGTGGGCGAAGACAAAAGAGCTCCATAGAAATTTGAAATGACCCATAATGCCCTTCATATAAGCCAAAAATTTAAGTCATTCGACTCCTCCCATGGTTCAAGAAAGGAGATTTGTCGTTGGGAAGTTCTGCTCTCTTCTTCTTCTTCCCTCAACAGCAAACCAGTGGTGCAAGCTTCTCCCTCTTCCCTTCTCTCTTCCCCCTATCTTCTTCTTCTTCTTCTTCTTCTTCTTCTTCTTCTTCTTCCTTGACATTCTCTACACCCTCTGCTTTATAGATCTACAGATCCATCCGAAGAGAATGTCGATGCTGCCTCTGATGATGCTACATTTCAGATCTTCTTCTTCTTCTTCTTCTTCTTCTTCTTCTTCTTCTTCTTTCCAGCCATTGTCACTGTAACTCTCAACAGCGGCGTGTCTTTGATCTCTCCCACTCTCTCTCTCTCTCTCTTTCTCTTTCTCAATTTTTATTAATTATTAAATATTTTAATAGTTTTAAGATATTAATTTGCTAATTATTAAATTTTTATTGCTTCATAATCTTTATTATTATTTTAAATTTTAATAATTTATTTTTAATTTAAAAATTGATATGTATTTTTCAATTTTATTCTTATTTTAATAAATTATTTTTTATAGTTTACTCATATTTTTCAATATTATTTTGAATTTAATAAATTATTTTTATGAAATAATTCAAATTGAACTCAAAATTACCAAATAGTTTGTGGTTGATAGGTTGTCAAGATTTGTTCCATAATTTTTTATTACATATATCTTACAACTTGATGTTGCTCAATCCGAGGTTGTGCACGAACTGAGGAGAGCAACCAGATAGTCTTTGCTAACAAGGCAGGGCTGAGCTATAAGGATGAAACTGCGCTTCAAGACCTGTGATCAAGAAAAGAGGAGTCAGAGGCCCGAGGAGTTACCCCCAGGTAAGTACTTCGACGCTCAAGTCAGTAGGAGGTGATGGATGGCCGGGCCGAGCTATAGGGATGCTGGTCCGAGCTAAGTAGTTGTATGGGTGTTAGAAGTTGGGGATCCCTTACCTTGAGCATGGAGTACCTTTTTATAGCCGAAGATCCGTGCCCTGGTCATATTGTGCTTCCGGGGTTGTCGAGATGAGGTTAGCCGCCGTGGTAATCGGGATAGAGTCCCATTCCCCAGCGGAGTCGTCTTCCTTTTATCCATAGTTGTATTCATCTTGTGTTGTGTAGCTGACATGACTTAAAAGATAAGATGAGGGGCCACAATAATAACGTAGCTAGGTCGAGCTATGCCGACGTGGCCGGGCTGGATCGATGTGGTTGGGCTGAGCTAACGTGGCCGAGCTATGCCGACGTGGCTGAGCTGTAACTGGGCGGCCACGTGTCTCTCCGGGCCAGCTCAACCAGGACCCCAACACCACTCCCCTAGTTCCAAAGTCGAGGGACGAGGTTCTCTTGGTTCATTGCTCGACTGAGGAACTTTCGAGCATGCGTATTGTCCGCGCAGTGTCGGTCGTTGCCGAGTGACTTTCGAGCTGTAGTCCAATCCGCGCCGTGTTGGTCGTTGTCGGGGAGTCCTCTGATCGTCGACTATAGAACTTAAGTAAGAACCGAAATTTTGGTTCCCGAACCACTCCCCCAGTTCTACTATCAAGGAGGGGGAATGCTCAGCCAGACTATTGCATGGATTTGTAGCCTTGTTCGACGTCAGTTGAGGTTGGTATTGGGCACTCCGGTTGGGCCAACATCCTTGAGCGGCCCAGCAGAGGATCGGTGTCAGTGGTTGGACCGGTATTGAGGATCGAACCGGTGCAATCAATGGTCGTAACCACTGCCTGTCGTCGGTGACGCTTCGGTTTCCGAGGCTTTGCATGTGCGTTATTGGTCGAGACGATTGGCCTTCCAAGGCGTTGTGAGAGGTGCTTCATTTGCACCGTTGATCTCTCCTCGGTCCGTGCTCATGGTGGCTATAAAGGAAAAGGAGGGGCCCCCTCTCCTCTCTATTATTTGCAAGAAGGTGGTTGGCATTGTTCGACGGTCATTGCTCGACAGGTTGCTCGAGAAATTGATCTGTGGGTTGCCCGGCAAATAGCTTGGCAAGTTGTTCGACAGATAGTTCGGCAAGTTGCTCGGTGGTTTATGCTCCTCATCTCTGTAGATTGCCCGGTATGTCTTTTTCATCTCGTCGATCCTCTTCCTCTTCCGGGTCCTCCACTGGTTCCAGTTCTTCTCATGGCTCGAACTATGCGCCTGAGCTGAGAGATTTTGTGGCTGCCAAAGTTGAGGAGGCTGAGGAAGTTACCTCCGAGACGAAGGTGGAGCTTCCTGTACGGTCAGGTTGCCGGTTTGGCACCACACCCTGCGAATTGGTGCCCGGGGATATGGCTCAGATCTGAGCTACGTACATCATCCTCACGGAATACCAAATGAGGTGTCCACTGCCCGACAAGATGGCCACTGATGCTCAGCCCGGTGAGCTATAAGTTTATTAGCATAGCCTGGAGGCTGGGCTGAGGTTCCCGTTGAGCGAGGGGGTCACCAAGGTGCTAGGATGGTACAAGGTGTTGCCGGTGCAGCTGATGTCAAACTCTTTTAGGTTCTTGCTCGACCTCATGTCCTGCTGCGCAGTCCGTGATATCGACTTAACCCTGGGGATGGCGAACTCTTCTTTGTGCACATTCCCGAGGGTCTCCCTTTTCCTGCCGAGCTGCGGGAGCCGAGGACAACTGTGCCACAGCCCTAGTGGATGACACTTACTTGGGAGGAGAGATCGGCCCTGAGCATGATCCATGAAATTGATGTTATCGCATACAAATGCTCGGAGATGCTGATGCTTGCTGGGTTGATGGAGAGGGTGGCTGGTTTGTTTCTTTTACTGCTTGATTACCGAGTCACTGTTCCTTTGCTTGCTTTCTATTATCTTGGGTATTTTGTGTTGCAGGTATAAGGATGGCCAGCGTAGAAGAGATTGTTCGTCGGATGATGGCACCCCGACAGAGGCAGGGGCGAGCTGGTATGCAGCCGGAGGCTCAGCCCGACACAGAGGAGCGACTATGATCCGCAGATAGGGTAGCTCATCGGCAAAGGAGAGTTCGGCATAAAGAGGCCAAGAAGGACGATGTTGTCATGGTTGACCGAGAGAGAGGTACAGAATTCAAGTTTTTGAAGCGTAGAGGTAAGATTAGATTCAATTTGATGAAGCCCAGAGAGAGAGGTACACGAAGAGTGAGGAGAGAGCGACTGATTTGTATAGAGTAGAGGAGGGGATTCCATAAACCCCCTTCTTAAAGAGACCTTTCACAAACGGCCAGAAGGAAAGCACCATCCATATGCTACAGCATATCTCCCCTAGCCCAAACCAAGACCCAGCATGGGCCCATGGCTGCAATAATATTCTTAACAAGCCCACTGCAAGTGCAGTCATGTGGAGCAACAGGAGGGTCGTGCCAGGAACAAAAATGGGCGATTCGTCGAAGGTGAGTTCACCTGCACTAGTATCCACAGAGCTATCCTGGTCTTTAGGTGTGATTTCAAACACAGTCTCTGATAATCCAAGAAGCTTGAGAATGACAACCAGCACACTAAACAACTATGATGTTGCAGAAATTATCCTT